TATACCTGTTATCAGGGCAACCTTCTTTGAGAGGGAGATTAACTCCATTTCCAGCTGAAATAAAACAATTGATAAAAAGTAAAAAGAAAAACATCATGTGTGCACAGAAGCTCGAAATAACGATGAGATTTATTTAAGCTGGAAATTACAAACCAAAAAAATGAAATCACTGGCGAATACAGACAGAAAGTATATATCTCCGAAACTAGTTGAATAAATGCAAGGGATAATAAAGTATATTCAGTGCAATGCCGGCCCGAAAGAATTCATTTCGATGCTGGCAGACTGTAGTTGTTTCAAATCTTCCTCACGATACAAACCACGACGACATTCGCAAAGACTCTGACCGGCTAGAGTAGCCTGACGACAACNGTAGCCTGACGACAACGCTTGACCCAAAACAGGTGATCTCCAGCAGAAACGTCGTGCAGTCGCAGTTTAGAGGTTTCATTTGGTAATGCTCGTTCAGCAGGACCGTCACAATTTCCCGGGCTGAAGCACAGCAGAAGTCTGGAAAAATAAACGAAAGTGTCACGTTCAACGTACCGACAGCTGCATTCATCCGAAACATCTCCACATTTGGAAAATAATGCAGCTGTTCGTTCCATGTGCAACGCCTCGATGAACTGTTCTTCCAAAGGTACTATCGGCGGTGGGCTTGGAGACACCCAGTTCTCCAAATCAAACTCAGAGACGTCCCGACGACTGTGTTTGTGTTTGATTAAATCCGGTGAGCTCCCGTCTTCTTGTTCTTCTTCATCATATTCTTCATCTAGTTGAACAGCAATAAGGAAGACTAAGCAACGTACATATTTTCACGATCCCAACACCAAACAGTAACAGGACTAGCAGTCTGTCACGCATGTGAAGAGTTTCAATCTTAGTAAATCGCTTTTCTGTATAGGTTCGAAGACAATAGAATAATCTGAAATAGAAAGAATGGATGGACTTTATTTTATGAAACAGCAGTTGGGTAAAATATATATAACAATAAAAGAAAATGATGAGACTGGGGTATAAAAAGGAACAAAATGGAAAGCGAAGAACTACAGTGGATGAAGAGGACAAAAATAACAAAGCCTTTTTTGTTTTTCATCGTACACTCTCTGGCACTTTTGTATGCGATATTGTATCGGTATCAAGTGGTACAAGAGTTGATCTTCATCAACGGTCTTGCGAAGGATCTCCACAATCTTTGCTTCATGTTTGCCGATGATGTGAAGTTAGCTGGGGAAGGATTGGAACAGGATATAGATTCAGTTCGAAGGTGGTCGGATAAGTGGGATCTGTCACTCAATCTAGGTAAGTGTCAGCTCTTGACCACAAGAGCCAATGATGACACGAGAGGTGTGATGCATTTGCAGCATGTCTCTGAGGCAAAGGATCTAGGGGTAATGATCACGAACGACTTCAGGCCATCCCTGCAGTGCAAGCGTGCGGCTAATAAAGTTCGACACGAACTTTTCAGGTTGTGCGCTGTTGTAAGTTGCAGAAGACCGGAGGTTTTCGTACCATTGTACAAGACTATAATGCGTCCTCGTTTAGAATATTGCGTACAGGCATGAGCGCCTTATTTTAAACAGGACGAACGGTGTCTTAAGAAAGTACAGCGCTTAGCAACTAGAATGGTAGCAGGCCAGGAAGGTAAGGGATACCTCCAACGACTGAGGGACCTGGATCTGTTCTCCCTGGCCCGCAGACACATGCGGGGCGACATTTAAGATTGTCAAAGGGCTTTCAGGTCTAAAGTTCCAAAACGTATTCTCGTTTGTTCCTGCCAGGGGCACGAGGGGGCATCAACTTAGATTGGAAAGTCATTTTAGAACAAATCTACCAGCTGGGTTCTTGACAAGCAGGGTAATACCACTGTGGAATAAATTACCTGAAGCAGTGGTTAACTGTATTAATGTCGAATGTTTCAAGAGAAGGCTAGATGAAAGCTGGGCAGTGGTATTTTCCGAAGTTGATTGTTGAAAGTTAATCGTCAGGCTTTACTTTCCGAAACGTTGTAGGAGATCTGATACTGCCCACTAACATTCTGCCTTTCAGAAACTACTATTGACTCGAAGTGTTGGAAACCAACGAAACCGCCGACAACACAAGGAACCGGATGCGCGATTGGCAAGAGCCACAATTCGTCCTGTGAGATGAACTGAACTATTACACTGGATACCATTGCTAACCACCCTGCCACAACCACTGCCTCCACACGTGTCGGAATGCTGTACCATGGTTGTTCTATTAAAAATGAGTTCAGATCACGTATCATACGGGAAAAACAATGAAGAAAAAGCGTCCCAAATTGCAAAATCCCTTGGGTGAATTACTCAACGAGAAATAACACAAGTCCGCATTAAAACGGGACCCAAAATTCCCAGAAAGTAAAACTAGCCGACCAGTTGGGTCGACTGTACGATACAAGGAAAGGGGAAAAACCCTATGAAATATCTACTGATATTTTACTCTGAACTATATGACGCTTTAAAGATAAGACCCTTTCGAAGTCACAAACCGAAACGAATAGTGGAAATGGATATTTCACTATATATAGTTTGAAATATCTATTGATATTTCAAAATTAGCTGACTAAAAAATCTTTCGATCACGAGAACTTCGAAAATTCATACCGAGCGCTAACGAACCGCAAGGTCAG